ATCTCAAGACTCGCATGTCATCGTGCCTGGACGTGTAGCTACTAGAACCACATCGTCAACTGGAGGCTTCCCCTGCCACGTATTCGAGCCGAGAGACATAGGTTTTCTCGCTCGTCCGACAGCGTTCCTCAACGACGTATGTATCAACGGTTGTGCCGTTCTGCAGAAGGACATGCCCAATTCTGCTGTGGCTGTCTTCTCTACGTACGATCTTCCTCGAATCCGCTATAATGCAGCTGATGATAGGCTCTGGCGCAATACATCGTGGACGCGCTATTGGGAGAAAGATGTGTGGGTTCTCCCGATTCATCGGCCATCTGATGTTGGCCATTGGGTCGTTTGCATCATTTACTTGTCAAGAAAAGAGCTTCATCTCTTTGATAGTCTAGCTGAACGGAGACCTTGGAAACAGGATGTCAAAGTTGGTTCACTTTAACTTGCGTGCAGTGTTCATTTTAATAAATTTACAGGATGTCATGAAATTTGTTTGTCGACTTCTAATGGTGGCACGTCAACGAGATAAAAATGTTCACATTGATATGGATGGATGGGTAGCTCGCCCATTGACTGTAAGTCAACGACATGTCTCACATCTAAGCCCTCCGTTGACGATTCACGCAGCTCAAACCTCTTCAAACTAATGGTTATGATTGCGGCGTATGGGTATTAGCAACAATCATTGCTGTCCTACGTGGACGACAACTTACACAACTCCGAGAGGATGAAATGAGGGATCTTCGATATTATCTACAATGTCGTGTACTTTCCATCCCAGTATTCTAGTGCGCATGTCTAGACATATGGATTCTTCCCAGCAATTAGCGAGTCCTTCTCCGTTTGATAAACCACGATCCTTCGTGCTACCCACTGGCAGTGGCATTCAGCCATGATCTTGTGTCTTGTGCATGCCTGCAAGTGTGAGACACAAGTATGAAGCTCATCCCAGCCTGTAAGTAAACTCTTTTGCGCCTCTTGAATCTCCTCGAGAACTCTGTCACTCTCTCCCCTGTTATACATGGGCCGTGCGTTGTGCACAAGAATCCCTTTCGATCCGCAAATGACGTCCATGCATCACATCGACGATGTTATTTGTAAAACGCTCTTCCTCTGGCGAGTCGGGAGGATTGGGGAAATCGTAAGGAGGTGGTTAGTCCCATTGCAAAAGGTCAGATTCGTCGATCAAGTTTGAACCGGCAAGGGATTGGCGAAAGAGATAAGAATCGGGAAGGGGGAGAGCCGCGAATTGCAACAAGGAAGACGTGAGAGGTGCTTCAGACATGATCTTGGATGTACGAGGTCCACGTCGACCATGACGCTTGGCGTAGTAACGAGCATTCTGAGCTTGCCTCACTATTTTACCTCTGTGATAATGAAAACATGTGAATTAAAGTTGGACAAGAGACATATAATGCTTACCTTTGTGACTGAGAATATGATTCTCTATGTTGTTGTGAGGCAGCTGCTTTCTCATCTAATGTGAGGTATTTTGCTCGCCGGCCCATGATGAATTATGACAGGGGAAAGCAGATGAATTGTAAAATGGTACCTAACAAGATCACAAGTTGTCGTGAAGTTCGTACTGCTATATTGCCCTGTCAGTTGGAGAAATACAATACAGCCATTAACTGTAGCGTCCCTGTTCAAAATTTGGTGTTAGCACAATGGGGCGTACTGCTGGAGCCCATGAGGCTGGTTTAGACACCTTGAATGCTAGTGAATGTCCATATGTTTGTCTGTTTAATTCAGTACGAGTTATATGCTCGAGCGCATTGGCTCACAGATGTGATTTTCACCTCGCAGGAGGCCCGCAGTAGCCTCGACAACCCTCTTGAGCGCTTGGTGCCAACACTATGTTATGAATTAAAGTTCTGCGCTCATTTACCAGGTTTGGTAAGTCATAGCTTCTTGGCGCTATCCTCATTCAATGCTTTTTTGAAAATTACCCTGTGACATCCCAAAGATTTTCTATGGCTTCTCTTGCGTGTTATCGATTAACTGCATCTACTCTCGTACCTTGTTTGTACTTTGCAAAATGACTATGACCATATCCAAGCCCTCGCACCTTGTTGATGCCGCCACGCAGACAGACTCGCACTCTTTGTAACTACTCACCTCGTAAGTCCCCAGTCAGTTTCATATCCGTTCTGCTGATCGCTTCTAGCTCGTGGATGCGGCGGTGTCGACAGAGGGCCCAGGAGTTAGTGAGGTTACTGCCAGTCTACAAGTTCACGACTGTGGATGGAAGGCCCTTGATGGTATTCCTTGCATTATGGGTGGCATAACGGCGCTTGCTGGTAAGTTTCGTCAGTTCTCTTTTACACTAATCTTGACTTTCTTTCAGCTTCTGTTGGCGGCACGCTGCATGGCCGTTCCCCAAAAGACTTCCCCTGGAAAACCTTGCCCAATGAACTAGCTCGGCTCGGATGTTGCCTCGTGAACTACCCTGAAGAGACTTTGATGCCCGGCGAGATTCGACCCACGCTCAGGCGGACCAAAGGCATACATGATTTGACCATCCGTCATCGTGCTAACCTTGTCAACGCTCTCAAGACAGGCACCCTCACTATCCGAGCCATCACGAGCGATGCTGCCCGCTCACGCCTCTTGACTTCCAGGGACCCAATTATCATTGGAGAGGCACCATCACATCGCTCAAGCCACCCTCGTGGGCGACGTGCATTCGCAGATGGCAACATTGACCGAAAAGGGCCTCGTCGTCTCCCCTCACCTCCTGCTACACCAACTACTCGCCCTGCTACACCATCTACTCGTCCTGCAACACCTCCTGCAACACCTCCTGCACCACTTCCTGCACCTCCTCATCCTACAACTTCTGCTATTCGTCGACATGTCCAAGTTTTTGTAGAAATATCACGTCCGCCACCCCGGCCAGCTGTCGTAGCAATGTCACGCCCGCCACCCCGGCCAGCTTCTAGAGCTGTGCACAAATCATTTCTGCCACCACACCCTACTCACACCGAGGATCTCATCCCACCGATAACTTCTGTCACGCGGTCTTCGTCCACTTCTGAATATGATGATCAAAGTATGACTATAGACGACGAGTTGTCTGAAAGCGATTATCGGCCTTCTAAACGTCTCAGAGGTTGACTGGATGTAGATAACATGTTAGTACCACAATTCTTTTTAAAATTCTACATTAATTTCTGATGTGCGGTATCAGGTCTCATTTGATTCCAACTCGGTAGTCGTACCTCATCGTTACGAGGAGTCTCGCCTGAAAGCGATCATTGGCCTGCTACGCGCTGACTAGTATAATAACAACCAATGGAATGTAGATACCATGTTAGTACCACAATTCATTTCGAAATTCTACATTAAATTCTGATATGCGGGATCAGATCTCAATTGATTCCAACTCGGTAGTAGTAAGTCGGCGTTACATTGTTATCTTTAGTCACAACAATTATTTTGCAGTGTAGCCTCTCGAGCATCCCCATAACCTCCTCTGTCAACTTCCCCACTCTCTATACCCTCTTCAGCGATGACCAATGTCTTGGGTCACAGTTACCGTTTCTGATTACCCTGGTGACCACTTCGATTTGCCAAGACTCGAGAGTCATTGGTCGCAAAGTAAGTCACCTGTGATTTCTAATGCTCATTTCAGCCTCTCTGACATGATGAGACCACCAGTCCAAGCCCCTGGCCGCAAAGTAAGTCAACTTCCTCATGCTCAACTTTATCTGTATTCGCTGCTGTCTAAATTCGGGTCATCCTCAATATTCTTTCAGCCTTTCCAACATAATGGTACTGACAGTGGGTCTAGACCGTATCTTCGGCTGCAAAGTAAGTCACTTGTGCTTAACGTTATTCATATTAGCATCAATGTGAACCTCCCTCTAGCCTCCCGAGCCTCCTCAAACCCTCGCTCACACCCTCCTCAAACCCTCGCTCAAACCCTCGCTCACACCCTCATGAGCTTGTGTATCTCGGCCATTAACCCAACAAATTTAATCTTGTACGTTTGTTTAGCTTCTGTTCTACCGCTCCATTCTAAATTTTTTAGTCCGAATGACACCATGGATCACCGTCGCACAGAGGGACCCATTTTAGCTCAAACCAGCCTCATAAGTATCAGAGCACTGGTATTTTTTTCGTGCCCCTTCCGAATTACCATCAGATTTGCTCTCCAGTATTTCACATACAGGTAAGTAGGCGTGCACTCACGTACTTCTTCTATGGACAACTACTGACTACATACTGCAGAAATGACCCAAAACATCCCTGATATCCCATCGTCTCCTCACCCAAGCTTTGCGGCCTTATCCACGGATACCTTCGATTATATGCAAGAACAGTTTGGTGGTGGTCGTCGATGCGCAACACCACCTGTTGAGCTGACTCCCTCACGACTGAGGAGTAAGCTTAGGGCCACAGAGCGGGATGTTGGCCTCGTCAAAGGGGCATCTATCCGCCGCCAGGCCTTTCAGAACCCCACTATGGGAGATCAAGATCCCGTATCTGCGCAGTCTGGTGCACCAAACTTCGCCCATGTGGTGCCAGACAGTACTTCAACAAACAAAACGTCATCGCTAACGGTCCGCGCGGCTAGTAGTCGACACGCCTCACCATTTCCCGCTCCACATGCTCCTGCACAGCTCCAGGACATTTTTTATGGTTCTATGGGCGAACAACCATGGATGGATCCTAACTCCACTGACGCCTTTAGCATGATGGATGCTCAGTCATTTTTACCTGGAGGATCCCAACATCACCTCCTCACGCAGGAGTTGAACCGGTTAGCACCGCCACCAGGTTTTAGTTTTCCTGCGAGTTCATCGGGTCAAACAATGGCCTCTCGCACATGTTCCTTAGAGCCCCACGCTACATTCCATCCTCCCATCATCATCGCCTCGAGAGCACGCGCCTCCCCTGCCAGCAACAAACGTCATTCCACCAACGCCGTTCCAGACTAACACTGCCCCCTCAACAAATGCCATTGGTGCAGCCACTGCCTTTTGCGAACACTTTCCCGAAGAGCACGAGCCGGTGACCCATCAAGAGGGACATACGGTTACTGGACGCAGGTCTGCAGAGTTGAATGCGGCGCTCGATGTTGGGTTTGCTGCAGTCGAGCAATGCTTTCTCAATCTATCTATGTCTACCACATTCCCTGTTTCCCAATTGATCAACTTGTTCTTGAAGAGTCGCGGACGCACCAGTGAATGGTACTAACTATTGGAACTTGTATGCCAACTACTTCAAAGAGCATATCCAGACAGAACTTGCACGCATTGGCAGGGAGGCCCCAGCTGGAGGCGGCACACCTAGTGAGTACCATATTACATCTTGTTCCATAGGAGATTTATATTCCTTACAGGTGCAACTGTGCGCACTCAATGTTACGACAAATTCAAAGAGGCCTATCCCGATTCTTACCAAGACCTCCTGTCAATGCATGAGGAGGCAGCGCTCCTTGGATCATCTACTCAAACAATAGCTCAGCGCGGACAGGGATTCCAGAAACATTATCGAAGGGTAATACAGATTGTACGTTATCTCGCCCGAAGTTTTGTCATCACCTCATTTTGTTATTGTAGCTCGAGTCTGCTTCCGCTAAATCTGGCTTTGAAGCGGCCATCGTCCTCTGTGGCAAAGTGGTCAACGAAGACGGGTCACTTGGCCATTCATATTGCACGCCAGGTGCTGCAGGGGTGAGATTTTTCGTCGTCTAAATCCTCACATACTTAGCAAGATACAGTTCTGGCAGACACGATGCCGTGCTAGCGATGATGCCATCATCGGTCATATCAAGGCACATGTGTAGTAAGTAAAAATATAAATATAACTATGTTTGTGATACAACTGACACTGTATCTTCAACAGTAACATTTCATCCTTGGCTGCGGTGGATGAAGTGTTCCATGACGATGCCCACAGCGACCCATTGACCCCCCACTCGACTCCAAATGATGGTCGTGATCAGTCTCAGGCTCCTGAGGGGCGGGATGATGGTCTGAAGTGGGTGAAGCTTGAACTTATCAAACAAGTTGGTATGTCGGAACGTTGCTGGTCTTTTGATCCATTTGACTAAATGTACACCAGCCCAGCTTGGGGGGAAGTGTGCTTGGGATAAAAACTTCCCTTGGAAGGGCATGTCCAGTGCGCTTGCTGATGCCAATCTCTGCATCAGAGGGTATCCGGCCCACAAGTGCCTCTTGCCTGGTGAAGCTCACAACGAGAACTCGAAGAACAAGGGCATCGGGGCGTTGACACAGAAGGAAATCGCGGTGCTCGTGGAGGCATTGAAGTCAGGAACGATGCAAGTTGTCAAAGTCGACAAGGCGCATCGAGGTAAGTGTCAATTATGTTGCTGTAAGAACATTATGATTCTAATGTTATGTTGAGCATCCGTTATGGCCTCTGAGAGGCCAGTCATCACAGGCATAGCACCTCCGTCCGACTGTCCACATGCCGGTGCTCGACGACTGTTTATTAATGGCGACACCGACTACCACGGCCCAGCTCGTCTCAAGCCTAG